AAATTGTGTACACCCCTACCAAAAAAGGTTTATAAAAACCCACGCAAGGTACAGAGACGAGAGACACAAGAAAAATTTTGAACTAGACAAGACGGAACATAGACGTCGTTGTACACTCTCGCCGCTGACGATTATTATTGAACTAACCAAAATAAACGCTAAAGTATTTTTCACTGAAGTAATTAGATACAGTCCACTTTCCAAACAGTTCGCACAAAGTTAAGTCGGCGTGCGACGTACGGGTTTCACTATAAGATTTTCGAATAGAAAACGCGTACACAACAGTGGCGGTGGTTGAAGCCTACACGCCGGGCAGAGACCTCTCGAGGGTCTCGGCGCGTGGCAGCGTCCCACCTGCTCCTGGACCAGACGGGAAATCTGCTAGAGTTTTTGGAAAGGCAACTCGGCTACCAACAGTCTATTTCCATGGGACTCGTCATCCCGGGAAGCAACGCTGGTGAGGCTACGCAGCTGATCGAGCTTAATCTCAATCCCACGCCTATGGGGCTCTCCTTGGTAAGCCTTCGCGGCAGGAACTTGGATGATCGGACTTCCCTCTGGTTCGTCACGGGTCACCTGGCGTATGAGACCAAACAATGCCTGTTCGAACGATATCCAGCGCGGAATGGACGGACGCGTCGCGTAAGTGGTTCGCGGCTGTAATCGACAGATCGTAACGCATCGGGCTATTAGCCTTTTTCCTGCGCCGGCCGGCCCGTCCGCGGTTCGTTCGGAGCTAGAAAATTATTGCCGGCCTCCGTGGATGCTCGGAGGGTCGTAAACAATAAATGAAACGAAAGCGACTGATGTACCGATATTTTTTTCTGGGAGGCTCGATTTATCGACGGTATCAACGTGGGAACGCGGAGTTGCTTTTTGTTTGTTCTTCGTTCTTGAGTGTTTGATTGTTTCTATTGTGAGTACGATACGATTATTGCCTGTGCTAATGGTAATTTCACCCTTTGCGATGGAAAGTTTTTTAGTGGAGATGTTCGAGATTTTCCGACGAGATATAGATATTGCTTGAATATTTTACTTAAATATCATCGCACAAAAATGAACATTAAATATTATACTTTATAATTTTCTGTGCCAAATCGAATGGCGACTGGGAGGCACCTATGGAGTTCAAAGGGTTGAAGTACTAAATATTTAACTTCATAGTTTTGCTGTATCAGATTGAATGGTGACTGAGAGTCACCACTTGAAATTATCAATTTTACATTCTTATGAATTTTCTCAGTTCCAACGTTACCACGAAACCTCACAGCACAAAAACCTTTCTAAATTTCAACTGTCAAAACTTCAAAAGATCTCTCAACATAAGAACGTCGTCCTTCCTCTCGAACGTCCAAAAAATCTCTATCGCTCCCAAAATCCTCACTTCCAACCTTCCAAACGTAGTCCCAAAAGTCTCTGTCAAAACAAAAATCCGCAATCTCGACTCTCTAAACACCTCAAAAATCTACCACCATAAACCGATCTCTCTCTTACTCTACCAGCGAAGGCGAAGGCGAGCAGAGGTGCAGCGCGGAGGACAAAAAGGGTGAGGATCGGTGCAAAGTGGCGGTAGGTGGCAAAAGCTAGAGCAACGAACAGCTTCGCAGCTGCGGCTTCAGAGCCGGAGCCGCTCGGAGGCGAGTTAATCCGAAAGGTTAATCGATCCATCGATCGGAACGCGTGGTACGACGCTCGAATGGCAAGGAAGAGAGTTATAACAGGCATCGCAGCGTTCTTACAGAGTAGCCGAGCGCGCGTGCTGGTTGGTCAAGGTTGCAACCGTGAAAAACCGCCACGCCCGATAGTCGAGCGAACAAGCGAGCGAGCAGCGAGCAGCGAGCGAGGAGCCCGTCGCGTTGTTGCATCGCGGTTCGACTGGGATCGGAGATAGGGCCGGTGATTGACGGCGAAAAAGGAGGATCGCGGTGGAAGAAATTAATTGCCGCGTTGTCGGGAGGCGGCGGACCGCGAAGAAAGGGGGGAGGAAAGGGGCAGAGGCAGCTCTCCGACCGCTTAATGGAAGTAATTTAACGCGGAATATTGTATACCGCGGGTGCGGTGTTTAAATTAGCACCTAAATCGTTTAAAATGATTGATACGTGTACAGGCGGCGGGATTTAATCTCGGCCGGGACCGGGCCAGGGCTCGTTACGCGAATCGCCTATTCAATTGCTGCGTTCTGGCGCGGCTTACGGGACCGGGAAGATGAGGACCTGTTTTTCTTTTGGAGCTTTCCTTTGGGTTTTTGGGCTGTTGCTTTTGGGGGTTGGTTGAGATTGAGGTTTGGAGATTGGGGTTTTGAGGGTTGATTGGTCTCGATTTGGATATTGAGTATTAAGTATTGAATATTGGATTTGATTGAGTTTGAGATTTGGAGATTAGATCTTCGAAATTTGATTGGTCTCGATTTGGATATTGAGTACTGAGTATTGAGTATTGGGTGTGATTGAGTATTGGATTTGGAGATTAGGTCTTCGAGATTTGATCGGTTTGAATTTAGATATTGAGTACTGAGTATTGAGTATTGGGTGTGATTGAGTATTGGATTTGGAGATTAGGTCTTTGAGATTTGATCGGTCTCGATTTGGATATTGAGTACTGAGTATTGCATTTGATTGAGTTTTGATTTGGAGATTAGATTTTCAACACTTGATCGGTCTCGTTTTGGATATTATGTGTTTTGTTTCGGAGATTCATCGGTTTTGTTGGTTTCGCTTTAATGCATCGGATTGTTTGAGATTCGATTGCTTACTTTTATCTCTTAGTGAATAATAAGATTATTCTTCTTTTCATAATTGCAGTTGTTACTCAGTTAGATGCCTCTTTATCATTGATTTCCTGGATTCCACGACCTCTCGTTTCGGGTATCGCGCGTTCAATCTCGGACCGGTCATCATTCCATTGAAGGATTATCCGCACCATAATTATCGGCGACGATTTTATAAGTTCCGGCAATTGCCCCAATTTTTCGGCCGAGTTCACTTCCCGCGTCGTGGCCACGATAAGTGCGTCCATTGTCCGGACCTTTCTCACAGGGGAGACGGATGAATCTGCGCTGGCCAGCAGGAAATTAGCGACAGAAAGACCGACGAGAGGGGGGCTGAGAATGATAATGACACAGGGATGAGACAAAGGAAAGAATACCGAAGGAAAATCATCTTTCCCCCTTTCCAAGTTTCTGATGAAAAGAAGGAAGGTCAGAGAAACGAAACAAGAAAACGAGAAAGCCGGAGTACCAACCGAGCAACAAAAATAACAGAAAGCAAAACAAAAGTACACAAGGGAAATAAAAACGTACATAAGCAAAATAAAAAGCACAGATCACGAAACAGAAGGAAAATGTGGTAAGACAGCCAATGGGCACGGAGGAGCGAGGAAATAAACAAACAGCGATCGAAGATAAGAAAAACACGTGCAGAGGCAGAGAGTTTCGAGCAAGAAAACCAGAGGAGAGTAAAGGAAACGAGAGATTATTAAAAGAACAGAGTGGAAAAGAGAAGAAGCAGCAAAAAGTTAATGCTAAGGACATCGAAAACAAGCGAACACCGTCGAACAGAAGAAAAGAAGCACGAGCGTAGGCTATGATTAGAAAAATAGTCGCTTTCCTATGCCACGCAGCTCCATTACCCCGGCATTATTATACCTGCAGCTTTATATCTCCGCGAGGAATCTTCGTTTTGCAACGACCGAGTGCATCCGGCGGCGTGGATCGCGCCTGCGCGCATGCGGCCCGCAGCGAATCGTCTTGCCACTCTTATTATTTATCCTTTATCCTGAAACGCATCGGTCGCGTTCGGACAGCGGTTCTTAGCGCTGTTCCACTGGAAAACTTTTCACTGAGACATATAGAAACTATGGAACATTTATTCCAATATTTTAGATATCGATGGATTATTCAATATCAACCCTTTAGTCGAGAGGTGACAGTCACTTGATTTGATTTGCAAAATTATAAAGGTTTATATATAATATTATAGTCTTACACATAAAATTATAAGTCTTATATACAATATTAAGCTTCGTACGATGCATTGATATATGGAATTTTGAAATGAAATAACTTTCCTTCTTAATTCATGCTGTTTCCTACGCGAGTACATTGGAATGAAGTTTTTGACGATTAAATTATAATTTTTTCTGAAAGATGTGATACACAAAGTTTAACTTTAACAATTTGATGATATATTGGTAGCGACGTAGCTACTATAGTGGCGCGTCATCCAGAAGAGGTTAATATTTAATCAGGAAGTAACGAGTATCTGTAACGAAAAATACTGTCGAGTGCAAAGGGTTAAAAGATCGCACCGTAACAAAACTCTTCCACGAAACTCCTGGAATCCCCGATCGTTTATCTCGATCCGCATCGGGATCGGCGAAGAACCACTGGACTAGAGCACGTGGACGGGTCGCATGCGAGAATCGCCGGCGCTGCATGTCCGGCAATTATCGTTCATTAATATTCCAGCGCGATAACGGCGCGTCTCGTCTCGTCGCATCGCATCGCATCGTATCGGCGCGCGAACCGCTGAAATTCCGCCGGAAACGCTCGATCTCCTCGCGGCGCGATCGTTTTCTTGCCTCTCCTAGCCGTCGCTTTACGGTCCAGATAAGATCGGAGTTTTACGATGTTGTCGGGTAAATTAGCGGGTAAAGTTTCATCGTCGTACAGGTGTTGAACGCTCGACAGCCGATACACCGGCCGGACGGACGGACGGACGCGGCGAGCCGCGTTTTTTATCTGCTGCGGGAATTTCCTCGGGGCTACGCTTGCCGGGCGCGAGGACGCGTGTGTACCTCGATCGTAACATTCAATTGGTACGGGACATTTTATCGGACGTTGTACGTTTACTTCGGTTCGCGAAAAATCGGCGTCCTCGCGCGAGGCGGCGCTTGAGAGATAGGATGTGGATCAGAGATTTTAGAGGGTGACTTTTAACCCTTGCGGACGACCGTCGACGTTTCGGAGAGATGGAATTTTCATATTTGGAAGACCCCCTCAGACCTCCAGGGTTATCTGGTTACTATTTACTATTAGAAAACAATTGCGTTCGTTTATTGCAATTGGGAGCTGGAGGATGAAGATAACTGGTGTCCCTAGGTGCTTATCTTTGGACACGATGGACTCGGGACTAATTGACTTCAACGTCAACATCCGCTTAAAATAGGTAAAAAGAAAATTGATCGCGCGAAACCTCGTCAAACCCCCGAACTCATTTCCAGCGCGAGCGGTTAAGGGTTGGTCGCGGGTGCCGCGAACACGGGAAGCTCCCGGGACAACCAAAGAATGCTACTAATCATTCAACAACGCCAATTATCATTCCTGCGGTTTAACCCCTTAACCTAAACCATTCAACCACAAAACACCGACAATATTACCAAACTGTTTTCCAGTTAATTTCCAATCATCCCCGTCCGAAAATTCCTCAATTCTACTAAAACGTCTACAACCTCAAGTTTAAAAATCCTTGCTCTAAAATGCAATAAAACAATGACTAGCCTACATACAACAGTAGGGT